CTTATCCTATTTACGTTTACACAACATTTTAATCGGTAAAATTTGGGGAAAATTTTTAGGACCCCCCCCCCTCTTGGTTTTTGTCCGTTCACGCAAACATTCCGCTGCGCGATTCTAACAATTCAATTGGGAAACATGGAATACTGGGTGGATTCTAGTTATGGTCGAAAGCTGTAACCCAAAAGCCACTTGCCCTACCTGTCTTAACACCAAAAAAGGGTCGTAGGAGGACAGTTTTGAATGCATCCAGTTGGCATGGACACTTGTCGATGAGGACGTATTTTTAAGAAGACCCAGTCTCCCACTTGGATAGATGTCTATTTTATGTATTTATTAGCATATTTTGACATATGCTCATGAGCTCTTGCTAGGTGAAATTTGAGCTAACATAAGGCTTCATCTCTAGTCATTAGATCTTGTGCAATAGCTTCCACCGTAGTCTCCCTTGGAACAAACCTGGTGATGGAAGGGGGTGGTCTGCCATAAACTATCTCAAATGGAGATCTCTTCGCAGCTCCTTGAAAACTAGTATTATACCAGTATTCTGCCCAAGAAGAAACTAACACCATGTCTTGGGCTGTTCTGAGCCGAAACATCTCAAATATGTTTCCAAAATTCTATTGATGACCTCGATTTGGCCATCAAATTTAGGATGGTAAGTCATGCTCATATTAAGTTGTGCCCCTTGTAACCTAAACAACTCCTTCCAAAAAAAACATAGGAACATAGGATCCCTATCTCTAACAATTGAGGCTGGAATCCCATGTAACCTCACTATTTCTTTAGAAAACACTTCCGCTATGCTCCTAGTAGAAATATGGGTGTTTAATGGGTATGAAATGCCCATATTTACTCAACCTATCTACCACCACCAAGATCGAATCATACCATTAGACTTGGGCAACTAGACAATGAAATCCATACTTATGTCTTTCCATACTGCATTGGGTATGGGTAAGGGTTGTAGTAGTCCTTGTGGAGAGGAGGCAAGGTACTTGTGTTTTTAACACACTAAACATGCTGCCACAAAATCTGTCACCATTTTCTTCATTCCAATCCAGTAAAGTGATTGTCCCAATCTACTATATGTCCTAAACACCCCAGAGTGACCCCCTGTAGTTGTGGTGTGATATTCGGCTAGCAATCTTGGAATCCAAACCGATTTGGCTTAAATAACCAATCTTCCCTTATGATGAAGTCGACCATTCTCCATTGTATATTGCCCTTGACTCCCAGAGTTGTTGCTCACCATTAATCTCCTCCAATATTGATTGGAAATCCTACCAAAAAGGTATGGAGACAACTTGCAACTCTTTTTCTTCATCCTCATTCTCCACCCGACGAGAGAGGGCATCAACCACCTTGTTGGATGTTCCAGTTTTATATACTATATCAAATTCATACCCCATCAATTTGGCCAACCAATTCTACTAATTTTGAGTGGTAATTCGCTGTTCTAATAGATATTGCAAACTCTTTTGGTTAGTATACACTGTAAATTTTTGCCCCAATAAATATGGTCTCCAATGTTGGATGGCTAGAACTAAAGCCATCAATTCCTTCTCATAAATGGATTTGGTTAATAAGTGTCTGCTAAAAAATGCTATAGGTCGTTTATTTTGTGATAGCACAACACCCAATTCATTTCCTGATGCATCACACTCTATAGAGAATGGTTGACTAAAATCTGGCAATTCCAAAATAGGAGTTATTGTGATAGCCTTCTTGAGTCTTTCCATAATCTCAGTGCTTTCTTCATTCTAGTTAAAACTCCCCTTTTTTAATAAACTTGTCAGTGGATTTGCTATTTTTTCATAGTCTCGTATAAATCATCGATAATACCCCATAAGACCCAAGAATCCTCGTAAAGCCTTAATATATTTTGGTAGAGGCCATTGATGAATTATTGACAGCTTTTCGGGGTCCATCTCTACCTCTCTTTGCGAGATTACATGACCCAAATACTTTTCGTCTTGCCTCCCAAACTCACATATTTTCTTATTTGCAA